TAATGACTCTCATGAGAACAACTCAAGTGAACCCAGCGGAAGAACCCTTCGCCATGCTTTCGGGAAAAAGGAAATCCTGTTTGGCATCAAAGGACAATCTCCTTTGTTTTGCTTTCTGTTTTGTCGTTTGTTTTTTTTGGGGGGGGCCTCCCGCATTTGTTGCGGCAGTCCAAGATGTTTGCGGATTTTCTATTTGGGCGCCCTGCAACGCTGCAAGCCAGGTGAAGTTAAATGCAAAATGCCTCCGGGACGCCAGAACATGTGACAGTCGCAGTGAGAGGAAGGGCTTGGCTTGCGCCAGAGGGAAAGGCTTCTCATGCCAAATTCCCTTCCCACAATCATGGAAGCTGATGGAAGTGGTTTGGCCTGTCCACTTCCATGATTGTGGTAAGAAGGTGAATCTTGGCAAGCTTGGTCAGGCGCGGCACACGCTCTGGCGGCAGCGTGCGGCGCGGCGCAGAGGGCTGCTGGCGTGGCTGGGCAGAGATTGGGGGAGTGGGACGTTTTTGTTGCACTTGGCAGCCTTTACTGATCTTTGGTGCATTTTGCTTGGATGTTAGGATTTTATTTGTTTGCCAACTAGTGGGTTTTCCATTAAACCACTAAAAGTTAAGCTTCTAGCAGGGGAGCAGAAAGCAAACGAGTGATACTGTTTGGGCCAGACACCCACTTGTGACACTTGGGCCTGAACGCAAGCTTCAACAAAAAAGAACTGGAGCTTTGACTTCAGGCAGTTAGTGCGGTTCAAAGGACAACTGAATGGAAGCTGAGCATTTTGAGCCTGGCTGGCGCTTGGGGCTCGGGAAAAATGTTTCATCACCCAGCCAGCCTGCAGCTCTCACAGGATTTGAGGACTTTCCCAAAAGGAGCGGCCACATGTTTTTTAATTTTCGGACATGCGCGAGTCCACCAGCGAGTCGATTTTGTGAGAGAGGGGGGTAGCTGTTCCACCTCGATTGCTTGCTTCGCTGTTGGGAAGCTCGGGCAAGTGTGTAATATTCGCACATGAAGCGCGCTTTGTGGGATTGAGGTCGCAGTGTCAAAGCCAACATGCCTTTGCAACGTCACAGAAGTCAGAGTATGATCTCAGTCAAATGGGTGCTATGTTTATGCCGCTCTGCCAAGGCTCTCTTTGATCTCCGAGCCGTTCGAGCATTGTTGGCGCGAAGTGTTCATGGACCTAGCATGGTCTGTGCCGGGCTCAGCCCTATCAGATCGTGTCTGCCCTTGGCATTTTGATTTTTGGCGAGAAGGTTGCGGAACCTGTATGAGCAGTTTAGGAGCATAGCCGCCTCCGTGAAGGCTGTGTTAGTCGTTGGTTCGGCCTAAAACCTGTTTCCTGTTTGGCAGGCCATCGTCTCCCCACTAGCAACGGGCTTTTACAGCTCCGCAGCGGTCAATCTGAGCCCAACCCATGGCGAGCGCTCATCAAGGCCCCTTCCTTGGGGGAGGCAAGTGATGTCCATTCGCGAATGTTCGGTTTCCACTCCCCCACCCCCCAACCACTCATATTATCCTGGGGGGGCGGGCCCTGGGCCTCCGAACTACCGAATATTTATGGGTTGTAAGGCAGTTGCTTGGGGGTAGGGAGCCTCTTAGGCAAATTCCATTCCCCTCGACAGGAGTTTCACGGATTTTCACGGCAACGGTGCAGGAAGTGGTGCAAGGGGGTCTCCAAGGCCTTTGGAGGAAATTGGGGGCTGTTGGATCCTAGTTCCTGTGGATGGACAAAATCCGCTTCGCACCAGTTGGTACGTGGTTTGTCTCGTTATAGGGTTTCATCCATCCCAACTGGTGCAAAGTAGATTTTGTGAACCCACGACCTGAAAACAGGCGAAGATAAAATCCCCCCCCCCCCCCCTCACAGCCCCGCAGCCCCGCTCCCTGTAGGCCCCCCATCAAGGCCTTTGGATCACATCGGGGGCTGAATCCTGTGGAGGGACGAACTCCGCATGGTTTGTTGGTAGTAATAAGGGGGATCATCACTCCCAGCGATTCTTAGGTGGTGCGAAATGGCTGTGGGTCAAAACCCTGTACCCCCAGTGAACATCCCAATCCCCACTAAAATAGACCAAACTGGGTGGTGCACCTACCCCGAAATGGTGAGGCATGGGCAGACGTGGCGGCGGAAAATCGCCGCCGGCGCTCGCTCCCGGAGCTTTGGCTGAGACACGGGGGTGTTCAACAATGGGCACCTAGAGACTCAATCCTGGCGGTATTGCATTTTAGCAGTTTTTTGGGTCGCCTCGTACCCTTTTTGGGCCATGGTTTTAGTTGGGGCCCGCCGTTAAAAGGGGTCAAACAAGGGGTCCATTTTTTGACCACCCGCATTGGGGAGGGTGGCTATGAAACTTGGACACGCTGTGATCCAATTTGTCCATAGCACGGTCCCATTGATTAGAGAGAGGGAGAGGACTTAAACTCACGGGTTGCTTTGGGGAACCCCTTTGGGTAGTCAAATCATGACACCCCAGACCCTAGCCCACAACCTTCACTTTTTCAAAAGAGCGCCAAAAGGGAAGGGTATTCTTCAAATGTTCGGAGACCCGCAATTTTTACCCAGTTCGGGGGATGGTTGGTGCTGGATATGACCACCGTGCTTTTCGATGTCTTGGGACTTAAAAAGCTGGCATCCCGAAGAACGTGTTTTTTTGTGCACAACCCCTTGTCATGGACAGGACAGGTTGGTTTTTCGGAAGTTCCAAGGGAAAACGCTCATTCCAGAGGTTTTCACATCGCAAGTTGAAAGATAAGCCATCCTGAGGCCCTGCAGGTGCAGTTCGAGAGTGAGGCAGCATCCCCGCGGGAGGGAGGGAGGCACTGCGGCTGAGGACTCAGCATGGGCGCGAGTTCCTTTGAGGATACCCTCCCGCCAATTAACATGGAACCCACCGCAGGGTCCCTTCAAACGGAAAATGGTCTTCCAGGGAGCCGCTGCCAGATTCCATGTGACTCGGCGGGAGGGTACATCCGCTGCACAAGGGAATCCATGTTCCGTCCCGTCCCCAGATGCAGGGGAGATATCGTGAAAAATCAAGGGTGTCGGCATTCCGGGTACCCAAAAAGAAAACTAATCTTAATGAAGCCGATCGGGTGGGTCGTGCATTCGTTTAAAAAAATGTTTGGGTTCATTCCCTTGCAAGCAATTTATATCCCGGGTGGGTGATTGGGTGAAATCGCAATTGATGAAAGTACCACCGGGCTGAAAGTGGATGGCGCGGATCCCTAGATGGCAAGTGAAGGGGGTGATGAGATCTCAATGGGGGAGACCAACATTCCGGGGGGGGGGGTAGTCAAAGTGTAGGTAAAAAGCAGCTTGAGGCAAAATGCTGGTGAACACGCAGTTAGTATAGTGAGATGATTTTGAAACGAATCTCGCGTTTTGCAGATGTCCTCAATACAGATTGCGAGCTGGTATGAAATCTTGCTTGGGCTTCCACGGGGGGACTTCATTTACATGTCCAACCATTTGGGAGGGTGCTTCATAGCCACGTCTGGTTTCAGTTTGGCTCTGATCATTTTCGAGCGCCATTTGCGTGTCCAAACGGGCAATTGGTGGGAGGGTACATCCATCCAACAAAAAGCCTCCAGGTGTACAAGGGAAGCCTCTAAATCAGCTTGTGGGAGAGTCGGTCTTTTGGGATTTTGAACCCCAGAAATCCCTTCCGCCAGGCAGATGGTCTTGCAGCCGCTTGCGGCAATCAGGCCGAGTTTTTTCCCACGCGGATCCACAAATGGGCGACCGGTGTGTCTTTTTAAGGGACGGCCCAAAATGGTGGCTATCCTTTTGGCTTCCTTTTAGAGCCACAGCCCTCAAAAATCACGCCCACATGAGAATGTGGTCAAAATCAGGGATTCGAACCCCCGGTGGGTTGGCTTCCCCTTTACCAACCCCAACAATGTGCATCCTAAGAAAACACATCCCGATGTGTGTTGTGAGTTGTAGCTTGCCCACAAATGACCATCCCCCGAAGTTGCCGCAGATTGTTGCACCGGGTCACTGACGCCAGCTAGCGGCCTCGGGCGGGTTTCAGTCCTCTTCCACTCGTAGAAAGCTTCCGATTTGAAGCTGCTAAGATGGGCGGCAATGTGCAAGGGCCAACAGGGGCCAAGTTGGTGAAGTGCATCCTCAATCAGGATTGGTGCCGCATATGAGCTTTTGGCCTTGAAACCAAGTGCGATCTGGAACCCAAACCACTCCAAACCAACGCAACCCGCCAATCCAAGCTTGGAGGTTGGCTGACTCCTCTCCGCGCCAGGTGTCACCACAAGATGTGGCCAGCATGGCACTGAGCAACCTCAGGCTGGATGGATTTCGCCGATGTCAGTTGAAAGATAGCAACCTACCCCCTTTTTTTTGCTGGTTCACAGCTGTCCCCTTGAGTTTTTCGGGTTTAGTGGGGGTTCCCTAGTCAAACTTTTAGCAAGGAGGACAGCCCAATTGGCTGAGTGATTTTTACTTAGACGAGATTGTGCCATCTACTCTTGGCGTATGGACCAACTTAAAGTGGTTGCATTTTGAGGGCTTCTCAAAACGAGTGCTCGCCCTTAAGCCAGTCTTTGAAGGGTAATTTCGAGGATGTTGCTTTAGTGGACCCAGTCTATCTCGAAATGAGAAACCACCACGTGGACGAATGAACCACCCAAAATGCAGCCCCTATTGAAGGTTCCGAATGGAAGCCAACTACAGGATTTCTGTTTGGCCTACATTGCCTTTCAGTTGCACTTGTAGAATGAGCTTCTTCGCTTCGCTTATGTTTAAATTGGCCGAACCAGGAAGTGTAGCGGCGGAGGTTCTGGCGGCAGTTTTTCATGGGGCCCGCTCTCCACAGAAATAGCGGGGTGGCACGGCGTTTCGGGCTGGAGCTTGGGATTTGGGATGCGAGCCGAGCGCCGGGAGCCATGTCCCCCGGTCAAGGGCCCACTTGTTCTGTCGGGAAAGCCACGCATGGAACATGTTTTGCCTTTCCGCCCGTGCCAAGTGACATGTCTTGGTGCCGGGAATTGGGACTTTCGCGGTTTTCGGCTCTAGGGTGGCCAAGGTCCGCCATCACGTAGGAGATGCCCTAGTTTTCTTTAGCTTTGTCCGGGGCTCTCATTTTGACCATGGCGAAAGACCAGCTGCCGCCCAAATCAGAGGTGCTGGATATTCCACCTGGCTTCGACCGAGATCGTATGGTGGAAGTTTTGAAAATCAAGGAGCAGGCCAACGAGAAGTTCAGGGCTGGGGACTACTTCAGTGCCAAGTGCCTCTACTCAGGCAGCCTGGAAATGCTCGAGCGCTGCTGCCTTCATTTGGACAAGGCGGATGAAGTCTGGGAAGGCATCAAGAACAACATGGCGCTTTGCGACCTGAAGCGCCAAGAATGGGGCCGCGCGGTGGACACAACCACCGACTCTTGTCATTGCAGTCTTTGTTCGGGCGTATGTCAATTTGTAGATGTTTCGTTTGGTCAAATTGCTTGCCCACTGCGCTGCAGAGTTCCCTTTTCGGCATGTGACTTGTTTTGTCGTGCCGAGTTTGCCCCCCTTTGTTGCCTAGCTGAACCTCTGTGGGGGTAGACAATGTTCTTGCCCCCAACTTGGATACACGGTTCAGGCCACCACTCATGTCCACCTTCTTCAGGGAGGGCGATTTCCACCCCATCCCCCCACGTCACACTAGCATGTCCACTTCCAAACCACTACCTCCAGGGGAAAGACGCGGTTCTACCTTTTGCACAATGGCTTCCATGTTAGAGTTTCGGGTAGTGGTTTGGGGGTGGTGGTTTTGGGGTTGGTGGATTCAAAATGGACAACCGTGATGTCAGACCCAGCTACGACCCTAATAAGGCCACAACCATAGCAACTAAAACTACTTAATGTTGATCTCATATTAACCAACCCCAGTTTATCAATAGGGGGGTGTCCCTGGATTTACTTGGGAATCATCACTTTTGGAGGGGCCCCCACCCCCCTATTAATAAGCTGGGGTTGATGAATATGGGGTCGAGATTGCTAAGTGCCCTGAACTCGCCCTACGTTACCCCAACCCCACCAACCCGGAACCAACCCTCACCCAGAATAATACCAATGAACCCACCCCCAACTCTCAACCTGCAAGTACCTTCCACCAACCCGACACCAAGACAACATGAATTCAAAAGCAATACACATAGTGAAGAAATAACAAATAAGACAATACACAATATAATGATACCACGTATTGATAACCATGTCACAAAGAATAGACATAAATCTAAATCTAATGATATGACAGATAAGCCTACATACTTTTCTTTTTTTTCTTTCTCAAGCACCGGGAGATCTCTGCTATTGCATGGGGAGCGGTCACTCAACCCTTCTGAATTCAGCCGGCAAAGTCGGGCCCCATAGCCGCATTGGTCGCAGCCGCCCGCCGACAAAAAGAAGATGCCTCGAAGCGGAAATCGGCATCTTCAGGACTTTCCCCTCGCAGCGCCGTCTGTTGGCTCAAGCACAGACGCAAAAGCGCTTTGTTAAGGCGAGGGGGATACTCTTTTGCACCTGCGGTGCGCCACGCACCTTGTGCATCTCGACCTCTCAGCACAATCTTCTGGCGCCTAAGATGCACCGGCAGCTTCTCTTCCTGAAGGATTGCAGCGGTGTTCTTTGCATTGGCAACGAAGAAGTGGGTCGGCTTTGCACTGATAGCCCCATAGTCATGCTGATGAACCAGCACCCTGGTGATATGCTTGGCCTGCAGCAAGCTCCGCCGCCAGATGGAAGGCAAAAAAGGCTCAGGCGGCTCTTTTGGATGTTCGCACAAGCCGACAACCTGACATTCAATTGCAAGCAGCATAAAGGCTAACGCCTCTTGCAAAAGCCTGTTCGCAACCTGCAGTTGTCGTCCATGCCTTACTGCAACCGATCTCCTGCCCCATGGCTCCTCGCTGCACCGAAGCGGCTTGGGACCATTGTCACCCTCAAGCACTGATGCCCATCTGGCTCTACTCCAGGTTTCACACGGCGGTGCAACCAAAACTGCACATATGCGGCCAGCTCTGAGATGCTTGCTCCATCTGTCACGCACTGCGGTGTCCAGAAGATCTCCCTCAGCGCCATATACAATGTCCAATGTAATGACCCAAACTCGTCTACCTGCCGGACTTGCCTGATTGAAGTGGTCTGCCCATGATGACATGTCTCCTTCACGCCTCCGCCCTGAATAACGATAAAGGACAAACACGTCTCTCCCCGGCATGCCTCTAGGCGGTGTACCATCCCTCACCTGAGCAACATCTTCCAGTGTGCTGCGCTGAGCAGCTTCAGGAAGAGCGTCACGACAAACGTCCAGGCTGCAAGTTGCTGATTCTGCACAAACTGGAGAAGCAAGGAGAGCGTCTCGACTATCGTCCAAGCTGCAAATTGCTGGCTGCACCCCCAATGGAAAATCCGGTGTATCTGCAAGCAAACGGGGTGGGAAGCGGTCTGGATTCGGCTCTATTTGCGCCTCCTCCCACTCTGTCCTGCTAGGAATTAGCGGACCAAAGTGCTGCCTCCAAGGAAGTCGATGCGGCCTCCTGTGGTGGCGGCATCTTTTCTGCCTCCCGAATGTCCTCGCCTGACAGCGGCCACATGGTCGCCTGCAGGTGATACAGGCAGGTATCACTGCGATATTGCAAATGCTGCCGAAGACGGTTCCTGTCATGGAAATCTCTTAAGCATGCATGGCAAAAGCCCCCTGTGAACATATATCTGCGTAAAAGCGAGTAGCAGCCATGTTTTCTGCTTTCATGCAGGCGCAGCTGCCACTCGCTAGCTGCCCGATATGCACAGGTTCCACATTGAAAGGGCCGGTCTCTGCCTGCTTCTCCATGTTCTTCACCACCACCTATGCCATCAACCGGCAGGCGCAGCCTTCTCAGATTGGCACGATATCCGCATTCCCACTCTTGAAGGTCCTCCATCAACACCTCATGCCAGACCGTCTTCTCGACGTACTGCAGCAAAAAACTGTGCCATCTCCCTGACTCCCCTTGATGAAGTCGATCCATGGCTGAAGGTCACACGATGGTTCCGGCATGCGCTCCAGCTTGCCTTTGAAGAACTTCTGCAGCTCTCGCAAGTCATCCCGTACTTGTTCCCACCAGCCATCTGCGCAAGCTGCATCCTCCTGCACCAGAAGAACCAACAAAGGGTTTGGCCCACTCACCAAAAGCCTGCGAAGATACCGGAGCCTTGCCTGTCTGAGAATAACCGCCGTGCAGGGCTGCATGATTGCTCTGCGCACTGCTCTGTTTGTAGAGCGCTCATCTTGCTCCGCAAAGTGTCTCATACCTGCAAGACCCCTGTAACACTTCATAACGAAGGCATCCAGGCGCTTGTAGTGTCTGACACTGAGCCGGGGCCAAGTCTCACACTTGTGGAAAAGGCGCGAAAAAACCAAAGCCTTGAAGAAATGCAGTCGTACCTTCAAAGGAATCTGAAGGCTGCAAAACAACTTGAACTGGGCCGCGCTCCATGCTCCCGCTGCTTGCCCGAGGCGGTGCTTCAGGTCGGTCCAGATGCCTCCCGCCGCCTGCTGAAAGGTGCCCAAAAGCTTGTAGCTGGAGACGACATGTGCTGCCTGCGCAGCTCCTCCTTGTTCAGGAAAAATCTCATCTCTGTCTTCAAAATGAATCTTGCGTCTGCAGCCATTGGCGCCACTCCCAGCAAGATGGAACAAGATCTCCGTCTTATTGCGCTTGTAGTTGATCTGCAGCCCCTTTTCTCGCATCCTGCGAGCCAGCGAGGACAGAACCACCTGTGTGTCAACCAGTAGGTCCTGAGAGGAGGAGCTCTCAACCATCAAAGCCACATCATCCATCCAAATAATGGGCCCATGACCCCGGTTGAGGTGGATTTGCCTGCATCACCCCCTCCACCGCCGGCCAGATCCGCCATGGGAGTTCCTGGTCTCGTGCCCCGCTGACTTCGAACTACTTGTGCACTGGGTTGGTCCGCGCCCTGCGAATTCACATAGAACCATGAGTTGTGCAAAACCTGCTGGGCCAGTGTTCTCAGCTCTTCCGACAAACCATATTCACTGAGAGCATCATTTGTACTGAGGTCACTCAAAATGCGCATCTCATCAGGCTCTGCAATGCCTAAAGGATCTCCGCAAAAGCCTTCTCGATGCACGCTATAAAAGGCGTTGCCGAGGTCCAGGAAAATAACAGCAAAGGGTTTCTTCTGTCCAGAGGCTGTTGCCATGAGGGCCCTGAGCGCATGTGACCCGAAATCCGTGCCCATGAACGGGAATCCTCCTATCTGCAGAGTGCCGAGACACGGCTGGAGACTGATTCTGACCTTGTCCCTCAGGATGCTTTGAAAGCACTTCGTAACAACTGATGTCACACAGATACTGCGATATGACGTGATCGGCTGTCGTGCCCCTGTACCCTTATAGAGGGGGCAAACTCGCCCACCTTTCAACCAGATTGGGTCCGCCTTCCAAATCCAGAATTTCAAGAACACAGGCCAGAGCATCCGCGCAAAGTCACTCGTGGAGGCACGTGCCAATTCAGGTGGCAGTTGGCACATGCTGTACGACTTGCCTGTACGCAATTTGCGCACTGCATCCTCCAGATCGAAGATGGTAGGCATGTCGCTGCAGACAACCTCCTTGCCAGCCATGCTAAGTTGCGCAATGTCATTATCCTGCTCAACATCAGCTTGCAGTTGCTCCAGTGAGATTTCTTCGCCATGCTCAACTTCAGCAAAATACTGTTGCGCAGCATCAACAACTTGTGCAAAAGGGATTGCCCGCTTCTGCTTCCGCAAAGCTGGGATGAGTCTCCTGGCAGCCGCCCACGCAACTCGGCCATCACTCGAAGCAACCTTGAGGTTCTGCTCGCAGACATGTTGCTCCAGTGCCGCAATTCTAGCTGCCTTCAACCCTGCTTGTATCTTCTTGTACCTCTGTGCTTGCTGGCAGGATAGCTGAGCAAGTCGGAACTGACATGCCTTGACCCAGCCACTGCAATCGGCTGGTTCGATCCGTCCTCTCCTCCAAGCATAGAAGACAGCGCCCAGAATACCTCTCTGGAAATGCCCACGCACATTTCTCCCATGCCTCCTCGACCGCTTCTGCTCGCGCAACAGAGTCCAAACATCATGGGGTATCCAGGTGGGCTTGGGCTTGGCTCTCTTTTTTCGAAAACTCAGTAACAGTTGATCTTTGGCCTCAGCTGTGATGCAGTGCAAGTGCTGATCGGCCGACATTTCCCATGTGGCTGCTTGACCAACATGATGTTGAAGAGCCGCCGCTATCCCAACCAACTCAGACATCCTTTCACTGTTGCGCAGTTCGACTCCATCCAGAGCTTGCACCTCAGATACACCACTGACCTTTGCACCCTTCTCGCAAGTGGTAAAGCCAACATAGACGCAAG